TCTCTAAATACATAGACAGTGAGGATATCCAGGTGAGATTTTTTTTTTTATGGTTTTCTTTTCTTTTTTTAAAATAACAATGACAACAAGAAACAACAAATTAGTTTCTTAGCCATTGACAGCTCTATTTTGGGATATAAAACATGTTTCATATGAAAAATCATAAATAGTTCTTTAGTTTATTTTCTATAAGATAATCATTAAGTGCTAAAAAATACTGGTAAGAACTCATTCACTCAGGGAAGACAGATCTAATGATTGCTCCTTAGGGTATGGACTGCACACTAGCGCTAATTTCTGGTAATTGTCAAAGAAGAATAGAGTGCCTTGTTATCAGCAATTTGCATTTGTGTAATGGTCCTGGTTTGTTGGTGCTGTCTACTGCACTGATAAGGAAAACACTACTTAAAACAAGCAAGAGAGTAAGCACTCATTGGCAGTATTGTTTTCGTTTTAGCTTGTCTTTTGCAGAAAAATGCCTCTGTGATTCCATGGGAAACTATCTGGCAGGGAGCAGAGGACGTTTACTTCTTCCTGAACTCTTTAGCCATTCTGTGTGTTTATAAAAGTGTACAACAATATGAATTCTAAAATATTAAGTTCGAAGCAAAGCTTATCCCATGTCCCTAATACTATGATCTTCAAAGATTTAGAATAGCAATAATGTTGTTGGTTTTGTTGTTGTTGTTGTTAGTTGCCGTTGACTCAGTCTGTACCTCATGGTGACCTTGTGTTGTGTTACAGGGTAGAACTGCTTTATAGGGTTCTCTTTACTGTAACCTTGACAGAAGCAGATTGCCAGCCCTTTTTCTCACGGGCCACTGGATGGGTTGGTATTGCTAACCTTTTGATTGGCTATTATCAATTATTGTCAAACAGTTATGATGAAATCAAAACAATGGTTACTGATATTTACTTATTATTTTACAGCTATTCAGTGACTCACTTCCCAAATTAGACCAGCTCTCTTGGCATATTTTTCTTTTTTGGTTACTATATTTATCATATCTTTCCATAGTTCAAGCATGTCAAGCAGAATTGTACAATGGTTACCACAATCAGTTTCCGAACATTCTTTTTTTACATGGACCCCTTGACATTGTCTCCCCTCCTTCCCCCCTTCACCACTGTACCACCTCCCCCAGAAACCCTTATTCTACTTGGTGTCTCTGTAGGTTCATCAGTTCTGGGTCTCATCTATCAAAAACCAGAAAAACATATAGCACAACTTCAAGAGTGTGATTTTGGAGGACATTCATTTCCTAAAAAAATTTGAGGCTTGGTTGTATGTTATTTCATGGGGATGAGTCTTGACAGAAATGTTTTTGCTTCTATGCACAAAATTTATACCATTACTTGTAGTAACATCCTCTATTTGTGTGCAGTGTTTCCACTGAAAATAGTTTAAGCTATTTCACAACAATATTGTGATCATTCATTTTGCAGCTGAACTTACTGAGATGGGCAGCTGGGCGCAGTCACGTAGATCATCATTGGTAAAATCGAGCGCGTGCCTGATTCTTCTCAGCAAAATTCAGAATTGACCTTAACTATACTTTATTTGGAAATGTCTCCTTTTAGGGATAATTGTTGTCTTACCATTGTTATCTCGGATAGCTTCTGTTGCTGTCACTAGGCCTCCCCATAACCCAACCCAAACCTCACTGCTGTCCAGTCAAATCCAACTTATTGACACCTAGAGAACTGAGTAGAACGGCCTCTGTGAGTTTCAAAAGCTCAGCTATCCCCATGTCCAGCCCGGGTTTTGCTTGGAATTGTTCCTTAGTCCTGTGCTAGCTGTCGGTGAAGAGCAGCTCTGCCCAGGCAGCTCACACTTTGTGTCCACTGGGCATTTGTTGCTGTTCTTTAATCCCAGCAACATTTTGATCTCACTGCTGCTGAAAAATAAAGTGGTAAACACAGTGACCCGTGACTGTAGGAGACCGTTGCTGCTTTATCGCTTCCAAGGATATCTAGCCACTCTCTGATAGCCCTTTACTAGTTTTAAGTGTTGGTGTAGGTGCCGTAACTAGGTGCTACAGAATAGAAGCATAGTTATTTTGGAGAGAGATTTTTAGTGGTGAAAACAAGAATAATTCAAAATGTATTCATACATTTACTAATCTTACATTTTGGTCATTTCAAAATCACCAAGTGCAGGGATTTGAATACATCATGGCTAACTGGCATTGTAAGAATCCCTGCTGGCACAGCGGGTAAGGCAGTCAGCTGCCAACACCCACCCCACTCACTCTGCGGGAGAAAGCGGTGGCAGTCGACTTCTGTAAAGATCACAGCCCGGGAATCCCTCGGGGGCAACGCTACTCTGTCCTATAGATTGCTGTGAGTTGGAATGAATATAAGACAGTGGGTTGTGTTTGGGGGTTCTTTTGTTTGTTTAACCTTTGTTGTTAGTTTACAATTTATGCAGAATGTCCATTTGGGGAAGGTGGGTGCTATTTTTTGTTGTTTTTCAGTTAAAGGCATTTTGTTCTGAAAGAGCCTTGTGCAGTGCTCGGTGCTCAGTTTGGATGGGAAACCCTTTGCCACCTGTCAGGGCAGCACAGGCCTCGAGGGTATGCCTTAGGCTGGGGCTTCTAGCCGCGAGTGAATGGTGACAGCACGCCGCAGGTGGTCTGTTCAGTACTGCCACACGGGGCAGCAAGGGCACTCTGCCCAATTTTTCATCCCAAAGAAATCTGTCAACAGTTTCAAGGGCTGAAATACAAAGCCTGGAACATTGAAGACAGACTACCTCCTAACATTATTAAAAGGCCATCTCTGCGGATGACAGTGTTAATCCATGGCACCTAAGTCAACAGCATATGTTGTTGTTGTTGGGGACCCTGGAGCTGGTTCTGCCTCCGTGATCCTGCATGCGACAGAAGAAGGCACGGCCAGGCCCTGCGCCATCCTCGCCACGTGGTGCTTGAACTCATTGTGCAGCACTGTGTCAATCCCTCTTTCCGTAGGAGAGTATATAATAGTGTGTTAAAGCGACATGCTATGTGAAGTATGCAAATGTTTTCTTCTCTGGGACTTTACAGCCCAAATGCTGCAAATCACATTGGCTTCCTTCTGATGAAGAAGATGAAGTATAGCTGAAAGTAGACAGTAAAATCAACCCTCTTTTTTTCTCTGCATGTGCGTGCCTTTTGCTACATTTGTTTGGTTTGGAGGCTGTGAAGGATGCTTTGAAATACATTTTTGAAAAGGACTTTTTGTTCGAGTAATAAATAATATTTCAAAAAGACCCGCTTCTTAATCATAGTAGTCATGTTTCATGAATAGTATGTGTCTTTGAAATCCCGATTTTCTTGTCGAGCTTTTTCTCTGATTGGTAAATACCAACATTATAATTCTTCCCTACTTGCTCAGTACTAATTAGTACTATTATTCATTGAGTGTCAGTTTGTGCCAATTCCTTTGCCTAACATATTTATAATCATTTCCCAAAAAATCCTATTAGAAGCCTAATATTCTTGTGTTACAAATGGGAAAATTGATCACCTGGGTGGTTAAATGCTTTGTTCAAGAACATGAAGCCAGTAGGAGACAGGATCTGAACTAATAATGGTCTCTAGAGTCTAAGTCCTTTTAACTGTTCTCTGCTAAGTACTATGAAATCCACACTGAGAACCATGGATTGGTCCAAAAACCTTCCTAAGATTAGCGAGTAAGAGGCAATGATGACCTTGGCCAATTCAGAAACTGAATAATTAGAGGTTGATTATTTTGATCAAGCAGGATAAAAATAAAGCTGAATAGACTAAACCAGTTTTAAAAGTTACTGTAAAATATAGACTTTTGCAGGAAACAAAAAAAGACAGGCAAGGGACCTGGACAAATAATACATGGTAGGTCTTGTGAAAGTTATGTAGTAGGGCATCTGAAACTCACACATAAACAAAACAAAATAGAAATTGACAAGGAAAAAGAAAAATAGAGACAAGTTAACAATGAAAAGATGTTTCAAATTATTGTGTGAGGACAGTTTTTTGTGTGTGTGATTATTTTTTTCCTCTTGAATAATAGATAGAATCTTCATTGGGTTAAGGGGTCCATTTTGATTTTCATCCTGATGAACAATTTTTAAATGAGATTTGTTGCTGAGTTCACACAAATAAGTGGGGGAAGTTGTGGTACTAAATACTGTACAGCAAGCTTATGCTTCATGTAATCATTACCCACCTGGTGGAATCACGGTTTTCAACTGCGCTTGTGTAGAACGCTGAAGTTTGACAAGTGACTATCAAGATTACTGAAGGAAGGAGGCTGTAAAGGCAAAGTAGGACTTATGTCTATTCTTAATTCTAAATGAGCGATTTTGTAGTGCTTAATTCTACATTTTCAGACTGTCTTTCCACTTCTTGAAAATTTTCATGGTCATCAGGCAACAATGGGCGTCTATGGTGAAAGTGGAAATTTTGAATAGAATGGCTGCTGTTGTCTTTGTTAGTGTATTTTTAAATTTAAAAAATACTAGGCATGCATAGCCATGTTATGCTTTGCTATGCGATATGTCTTAAAAACTATAACTTCAGTATCCATACAAAACATAATTTCCCAAATGAAAACCCTTATCAATCAGTTGTCATTGAAAGATTGATTTCTGATTTGACCTACATTGACACGACTTTAAATAATTGCTTTTGAGTGTTCCTGAAAGATATACTTTACTTAATGATCATAGATCATCTCTTTGCCAATTACATTAGAAGGTGAAATATTGCTTATAATAGGGTTGAGCGTCTTTTCCTACTTAATTATGAGTCAGAAAATTAATGAAATTAATTACGTCTTTCATTAACCCTTTGATAATTAAACTGTTTACTTAAAGCTAGAAAGTCCTTCTTCCTATTATTTCCTAAGCCTCAAAGTGCAGTGAAGCCAATGACACCTCAGGCCACCTCTTCCTTTTAACCAATGGAAGAGTACAGACTGCTCAGAAGGGGAAGAAATGGATGTAAACCTTTCCATCTTCTCTTTCTCTTGTGCAGCTACTTCCACATCCACAGCCGGAACAAGCCATCTTGTAAGATGCGCAGAGAAGGAGAAAACCTTCTGTGTGAATGGAGGCGAGTGCTTCATGGTGAAAGACCTGTCCAATCCCTCAAGATACTTGTGCAAGTAAGACAATCACTCCTGTCCGGGGCTGTGTCCATAACTGCTTATTTCTGTATCTTATAATGCATTGCGATTTTTTGTTTTTCAATTCCATTACATTCTGTGAAATATGACTGTCTTCTTTGTCAAGTGTTTTTGAAAAGTTTAAACCATTCATCATCTCCTCTGTTATATCAAAAATTGTTTGCTGCTTTATTTTGATGTTGATTTATTTATTTGCCACCCATATTCATCATTCTGCTTTTATTGTGGCTTTCCTCTTCGCTGCCCAGAAGAGACATGCCAGAGAGGCATGCTATTTGATAACCTGCTTCTCTAGCGAATGTGTGAATGAAGACGTAAGATAACATCCCTTTCTTACCCCCATGGCCTTCTGCAGAATGCATAGACACCTCAGAGAAGCAGAAGAACAGAAGACTCGCTTTGGCACATCTGCTACCCTTGGGGATTACCTTATGGTTTCAGAAAAAGATTTCATTGAATTGTAGTTGTCCTCACTATGGAAAAAGACAATAGTGGATTTCATGTGTTTTGAAATGCACTGTGTATATGTAGAAAGCAGGGTCTTTTTTTAATGCACTGCCTTTATTTATAGCTATACCTCGGATGGCACACTTGTGAATGCAGAAAAATCTGCCACTTCCGTATTCACAATATATACTGATTTGAGATGAACAAATTTTGTCATATCCTCTAAGATTTTCTCTGATAATAATAGTAAGTACCAGAAGCTAAGAGTTATAATCTAGAAAATAGGAAATTTATTTGGTACACAGGTACTTTTTTTATTCTTTCCAAACCTTTGGCATACAATATAATTAGGTTTTAATAAAAACTCCCTCTGAAGAAAGTTTTAATTCCTTAAACTCTTCTCCTTTCAAAATAATTGTACCCCTAGAATCTGCATCATGTATAGTTTACTTCTTTAAAAGCATCCGAGACCACTATATTTTAATTAAATCACGAGACACGATCATTTTTCATCGTAGTCTTTGCAGATTTACCAGCTGAGTGAATACTCTGACAGTTCCTTCATTTTTCTAGGAGCCAAGGTAGTGGTTTCCCACATATTAATGTCAGCTGCTCCGTAGTAGCCCTTCCCCATCCTACACAAAACACGCAATTGTGTTAAGTGCTCATCATGCGTTCTACTTTGGTATTATGCCCACAACTGCAATTTTTCTTCACCTACGCAAGTTTTCATTAATTTTTAAGCCCAATCAAGAAAAAAATGTTGCTATACATTTTTAATCTTCCTGTGAAATAGGTGTTGTCCTTATCATACTATTGAAAGCAGTAAGTGATGAAGGAGCACTCTGTCTTTCCCAAGCCAATCGTCTAGCGGCCCATGCTTACCTCCAGCTCCCGTGCACTTGGCATCATCTTCATCTGAGTAAGGGTGGGTGGTAATTAGAAGAGTTCACGGAAGTGTTAACGCTTCTTCCTTGTGCTTGTGGGAAAGAGCATTTTGACAGCTAACAGGCTGACAGCTCTTTTCTTCTTTGGGGAAATGACCTTCTCGATGCGTTAAGGCAAGTCGGTACCTTTAGGGAGGAATTGGAGTATATTTAACATCCAAAATACTTCAGACCTCCTTCCTAGATGGAAGACGTATGTATATTTTGTTCTTTTTTCCCCCTTTTGTTTTTAAATCCCAGTAGTAAAAGTATGTTTAAGATAATCACTGCTCAGTATTTAAGCAGAGACACTTAATCCACATGTCCTACGATAATTTATTGTTCACTAGACCACTTGAATGGGAACAGAAAAGAACAAAATTGTTGCTTTGGCTCATCATGGCCCTGTTTGTGAAGTCAGTTCATAGTTTCCATATGATCCATCTGTCTTTAGCAAAACGTTGCTGAAGCGTGAGCCACCCCTGCAAACCGGCGTCACTGTAGGGAAAAGACATGACTCAGAAGCACCACAGGCACAGAAGCTTCCAAGTAGTCTCTTCGGTCACCGCCTCTCCTGTTTGTCTTCTTGGGGGTTGACGCAGAAGATTGTTACAGAAAATCACGTTGTCTCTCAGTTTCAAACAAGGTGTTCCGAATGGATTGACCAGATAACGGTTAAACACCTCTCCACGGAGAGACTGGCTGGATGCTTCGACTTGCCCCAGGGCCTGGGGGGGCCCTTCCACGGTGGTTCTCACCCTCTCTAGTCCTCTTCTCTCGCCAGTAATTTAACATGTGTCCCAGAGAGACACTGGCTACTCTTCCAGATTACACAAAGATGGGGAAAGACGTATGCTAGATTTTTTTGTTCTTTTTGGCGCTACAGTGTTCTATGTTGTCATGTGGTTCAAAGAAACAAGATAACATATATGTTCTTCTGAATGTTGTCAGAAGAAAATAGAGAACTGTTTTGGATAATGTTTACATTGTTTTCAATCTGAAAATGAGTTTGTATTAGACTGTGCTTATAAACCCAGTCTGTTGTCCAGTAGATAGATATGAGTTCATCGGGAGGGAATTACAACTTTACACCAGTTTTAGTGAACAGTCTTGGTCCCTTTCACTTTAGGTCTTTGTTGAAAAAACAAACAGCAAGCAAACCAACGTGGATTTATAAATAAATAGTTAATATAGCCTCTAATTTTTTTCCAGGAACTCGGTGAAATTAAATGGGTTCATTTCTGCTAAAGCATGGGGAAGCAAGTGATTTTTTTTTCTTATAATAAAAAGTAAGTGATAGTATTACATGCTCTCTGTAGACATAGGGAACAAAGCACATCCCTTGCCTTAACAGCATTTAGTATCATGCATAAATCCCATTTCTCCATTGTATGGAACACCAGCAGTTTTCATTTGATTTGGTGGCGTGACTGGCTTAGTTGATAACTTTGGATGTGATAGATCATTTTCTGTCTCTGAACACTGGCTTTTTTATGGACCAAAAAAAGGGATGAAGCTGAATTTAGAAATAAGAAATTCAACCTTCAAAAATTGACCTGTGTGGTTTTGTATAATTAATTTTTCTGAAACCAGGTAGGAAAAGAATACGTTGGAATAATTTGGACATGGTTGTTACATGCCACAATGTCTTACATGCTTAGGTCAGTGGCTTCATCCTAGGAATTTAAAAATAAATCGCAACTACAGCAAAAGGACGCTGGGCAATGGAGCCTATTCATAAACTCTGAAGGCAAGCAGGAGACTTCAGACATTGAGATAGCAAATAAGGAATCATAGTAACTTCTTGAGTAGTAGAGAGATACCACATACATTGCAGATGTTCAGGAAAGAGAAATTTTTATAGAGGCTAGAGAAATTAACCATTTCATAGGGGAGAAAGGGGCAATGCAACACACTAGGAAAGCTTACTGTATGTAGAATCCTGGTACGATGATGGTATGCGCACTACATATGAATACCGGGATTTACTTAATTAAATGGACCTTGTGGTTCCTATGCAAAGTTGTGTCCTGCAGCAGCAGCTTCATAACTATAGAAAGAAAAATATGGAACAATGTAAAGGATATATATTGTGTTAGAAATCCCAGTCTATAAGAACAGATAGCTAAGCCCACCCCAACTCCAGTCATGGAAGGGTTTTTTCATCACAATTGGTGTTATACTGTTTTCTGTATCTGAGCACTGTAATCATTACCACATACAGATAGCATTTGTGAGAGCAAGTAGATAACCCTCTATTGCTTAGATCTAGACCAGCGGTTCTCAACCTGTGGGTCGCAACCCCTTTGGGGGTCGAACAACCCTTTCACAGGGGTCGCCTGATTCATAACAGTAGCAAAATGACAGTTATGAAGCAGCAACAGAAATAATTTTATGGTTGGGGGGGGTCACCACAACATGAGGAGCTATATGAAAGGGTTGAGGCATTAGGAAGGTGGAGAACCACTGATCTAGACACTCAACTCTTCATTCTCTTTTTTCCCTAGCCTCTTGCTACATGGGTACACACCACCTGCCATCAAAGCAGTTCTAGCGCATAGCGATCTCATCTGTGTTAGAGTGGAACTGTGCTCCCTGGGGCTTCCGCTACAGATTTTTCAGATGTAGGTCACAGGGCCTTTCTTTCTGGATGGATTTGAACCTTCAAAGCTTGACTTAGCTGCTGAGCATGTCAACTACTTGCCCCACCCAAGTTGTCCCGGCTGTGTGCTTGAAGGTACCGCTGTGAAGCTGCTTCTGATTCCAGGCAACCCTATGGGCCGGAGCAGAACTGGCGGAAAGGGCTATTGGCTTACTAGGTAGTTCTCCATTTTGCCTTTGGCGTACTAAATTAGATGGAAGAACCTCCCTTGAAAGAGCCAATTTAGGTGTCATTGTGCTTGACTTCTGGTGCATTGACTCAATGCCCTAAATCGTTTGTGCCCTTTTTCTTCATAAAAGCAGCTAACTAGCCCCATGAAGTATGAAGCCCCTTTGAGATTCAGCGCTTCCAGTGGGCAGGAAGTGGTGAACAGAAACAGACTGACTTCAGCCCTCGTAGAATCCCCGAGCTGCTAAGAATGAGCAACATGGGCATTTTAACTAATTGATCGAATCATAGATGATCTATGTGGGGGGAGGGAAACTAGTCAGGAGCATAGGAAGTGTCTGAAAAGAAGTGGATGTAGCAGCCCTCGACTTAAGACACATACAGTCTCTATAGAATAAAATGCACAGTTGTTAAATATTTATAGTAAAGGACTTAAAACGTGTGTATTTAGATGTTTTGTCATAAAATGTAGTAGTTGAAGTCGACAGAAACCAAAAGCTTGTCTAGTCTGCGCCTCTGGGTTGTTTGATGAGACAAGAAGTGTATCCTCCGGAGAGGAAGAGCAAACCACGAGTTGACGGTCCGTATGTCATTGTGTCAGTGATGTGGGGATGTATGGGATGTGGATTGATCCCATAGCCAATTAAATGGTCTGACCCCCAAACTTAAGGATACATCATGTAGAATAAACAATGGCAAGGGGGTTGAGTCTACCCATGAGCACTTCAGAACAAGCTGTGCAAACAGAGCTGTAGGAAAGGCAGCAAGGTTCAAAC